ATATTCTTTCTTAATAACCTTAGAGAAACTGTTGTTCGGCAGCCCACTGCTTATAGTGGTTTTACTCTTTCCTGCTGTGGTTTGAGTAATCTTTTAGTATAAAAGCTAACATCAGTTTCTGAGGACTTGGAATATCAGGAAACTGATTGTTTTTCAACCTCCTGTTTCTCTCTTACCCACAAGCCACACACTTTCGTACCTGGACTCAAATTTTGGATGTTATTTAAAATGCAATGCATTTTATATTCTCTCAATCATCCTTCATGTCTTTGGGAGTGGAAGGTTTCTTACCTTGAGATCTTGTTTGCTTGTGATGAGGGTTGAAATATACCAAGAATCTTGAGTTTCATAGAATGCTGAAAATAATATGTTGAGTATATAGAGTGCATTTCGAACCATTTGTTTCCTGTTGAGTAGCCCTCCTGTTACACTGGGAGAAACTGCATTTCTCAGCAGTCAACACTTTTGTAGATTCAAACACAAAAGTCGCGATTCAAACAACTGAGCCATCTGGTAGAAATCAGTGTCAGCCTTGAGCTCCGTGATATTTACATTGAAATAATGTATACATTAACCTACATCTAGAGGAATTGAAACTCTTTGTATCAGATGATGTTTAGGTGAGTTTGCCTTGATAATATTTCAGTTATTAGATCTCAGACCTGTTTTTAATAGAACAGATATGTAATTCTAAATGGGACCTAGTTCAAATTATATCTACACCATTCACTGATTCTTCAGTTGAGCTTAGAATGGAGTCATTGTTTGTATTCATCTTGATTTTTTTTTTTACTTTCACCACAATGAATGGATTTAGGCATTTAATCATGCTAGAGACAAAGAAAATGATACCAGTGTCTTTTCTATGAATCAGTATTTCTTATTCAGTACACAACAAGGTTACTAGAGATATTGGTTGGGTTTTCTGTTAGAACATAATCAGTGTTTCCTCATATTGACACTTAAATGCGAAATAAATCATTTTTCATATTAAGTCAGAAGAATACATATAGATAAACGACTACACAAAACAAAGCTCCATTCAATCAAGTTTGTTTGGGTACACTTATGAAGCGATGGATCTTTTCCAGCATTTTAAGTAGTTACCCTGACTTTCAAGATATTGCCTCCACCTGTCTTTCTATTGGCTGTACTAACTGAAAGCAATGTTTCTGCCATTTATACAATGCATTTTTAATCTGTATTCAAAAAAGAATGGAGCTCATACAGGCTTAACACAAGGGTGGTTCAGCTCGACTTGCAAAACCCAAAGATACACAATCAGTTTTGAAATGCAACTTAAGCCATTAATTGTTGGTGTGAATTTAAAGTTTTCTAGTATTTGTATGGTAGTATTGCTGCCTAAGAGCAAAAGCATTCTCTGCACAAGAAAATTACTGTAGTGGCTTTGATTTTTAATTAGAATTTTCTCCCTGGTGTTTCTTTGTAGACTAAAACAAAATCTTTTCAGTTTCTTACTACAGGTAAAGCTATGTGCAAGAACCTCAAAATGCTAAAATCTAGCATAATGCCTTAGATCTGTTTTTAAGTCTTGTATATTCCTACATAGCTGTCTGATGTATTATATTTGTATAGTGAATTGTGTACAATTTTGGAATAAGCGCATCATCACTTAGCTTTCAGTCGTTGAATAGAGATGATGGACACATTTCTTCAGACATTGACTCATTTATTTTGTTTTTTTTTCTTTTTGCCATTTGTGGGTTTTATTTGTACAGTTCCTCATGAAGTTACATCTGAGATGTGTATGAGTGTGTGTATATGAAAAGATTATACGAGGGTAAAACTAAGCAATATATAAACTATGGTTCTTCAGGAGAAAGCTTACAGTGTTTTCAGGTTGTGTTTTATTTTCAAAACTGAGTTGACTCTGAACATCACTTTGTTCACCTGCATTGATGTTTGTATTTCTAGTGTGAGCAGTTTATGCAAAGGTAGATATATTCAGAGAAATTTTAAATACATTTATGCAAGTTAATATTGCTTTGCTGATGCTGTTTGCTTATTTGATGTTAAATAATGCTATTGTAAATAAAGAATTCTGTTATTGCATCATTTAATAAATTTTAATGCCTTCGGGTTTTACATGGCTTTAGATACAGCAGCTTTTCTTCTATTCTGCCTTTCTGCATTTGAGTTGACAGCTGGGTTGAACTCCATCAACAACATAGTCTTGCACACGCAAGTAACTGTGTCTGGCTTGGAGACCTATGAGCCAAATCTGGTCTTTCAATCAATATCACTGGCCAAAACACATTTTTGGTGCCTCAAATATACCCCTGTTTCTGGGTATATTTGATTTACTGATTCCAAAAATGGCACTAGTTTTCCCCAATTGTGTCTAGTTTTTGAGATATCCAATGTTTGCCATATACCAGTTTTCATCTGCTTGCTCATAGAAAATGATGATAACCATATCTAAGAAACTAATGCTGATACAGTCTATCCAGTGCATTTTTTTTTGGATCAACACTCCAAATAATGCCTGGAACAGGCCTAAAAACCAAGACACCAAGAAAAAAATCTTTGGGCTGTATATTGGATATTGGATATTTACTTAACGAATTTACCATTTACCACTTACTAAAGCATAATAATAATAATAATGATAATAATAATCACAATACACCAGACATCACGATTGTGGAAAAGAAAAAGGTTTGGATTATTGATGTCGCCATACTGGGTGACAGTCTCATTGAGGAAAAACAACAGGAAAAACTCAGCCGTTATCAAGACCTCAAAATTGCAAAGGCTCTGGCATAGACCAGTACAAGTGGTCATCGGCACACTGGGTGCCATGCCAAAAGATCTCAGCCAGCACTTGGAAACAATAAACATTGACAAGATCACGATCTGTCAACTGCAAAGGGCCACCTTACTTGGATCTACACGCATCATTCAAAAATACATCACACAGTCCTTTTGGAATATTCAGAAACTGTGAAGGTGAAGTGGACCCAGCATGGTTTAAATGCCTTGACTGGTCCTAGCAGCTAAGCATAGTCGGCCCTGCTGGTACTGGGTACTGTAGGCTGTATTTCATGGGGTCACTATAAATCAACTCACTGACATGTGCTCTTACATACACACACACTGGTTCTTGGATATCGCTCTCCATTTCTTCCTATTTTATGCAACACATAGCAAACTTAGTAAGGAAGGAGCTGCTCCATACTAATATAACAAAGGACCTTGTATCAAAAGCTTGATAAGGAGAGATCAGCTCATACTGTACAGCAGGGGTCCTCAAACTAAGGCCCAGGGGCCGAATACAGCCCTCCAAGGTCTTTTACCCGGCCCTCGCTCAGGGTCAACCTAAGTCTGAAACAACTTGAAAACACAACAACAATAATGCTATCTCATCGGCCACAAGCAGGCCCACACTTCCCATTGAAATACTAATAAGCTTATATTTGTTAAAATTATTCATTTTAATTATTGTATTGTTTTTAAGTGTTCTTTGCACTACTACTGAGATATGTGCAGTGTGCACAGGAATTCATTTTTTTTTTTCAAATTCTAACCCTGCCCTCCAACAGTTTGAGGGACTGTGACCTGGCCCTCTGTTTAAAAAGTTTGAGGACCCCTGCTGTACAGGGTATAAGTCTTGTCTGGGCAAAGTCACCTGGAAGAAATGCAGAACAGGAAGGGATATATGGCAGACCTTGGATTATTGCTCCAGCATTTTCCCATTACTATGTCAATGTTTCCATTCGAATAAGAGTACAGATCTCTCTAATAATGTAAAGTAGTTACAAAAAATACATTTAGAAAATGAAGACACCAAAGCTGGTTGCCACATTATGATGATATTTATAGAGATGGGCAATCGATATAACTACATGTTTGTTAAGATAGTTTGTAGACCTCACATCTGAGTTTATGGGAATGAGATGCAGACCTTTCAGAGCCAAGTGTTAAAAGCCTTGTAGATATGTCAATGGTAGGTGGTAGATGCGGCAAGCCGAATGTTGAACTTCTCTATCTAGCAGACAGAACCAGCATACTAACAATGTGGAAAGGGGGTATTGAGGGTGGTTCAGGCTCTGGAAATGTGCTTGTTCCTTCAAAATCTTAGGAGGAAAGGATATTTATTTCCTATAGTTATACCCCACCCTTCTCACCCCTGGGAGGGGGGGACGGGACTCAGGGCAGCCTCACAATAAGCACCATACGGTGCCATCATAGCTATAAAACATTTAAATTAAAACATTAAAACAGTTAATTAAAACAATTGATTAAACATGCCAGTTAAAAACCAAATCCAAGTCTGGGTCCATTCATTGTCATAAGTTGCCTGAGTCTTCTTTCCACTTGCTGCTGGTCACTAGCCAAATGCCTGGTCCCATAACCACATCTTAAGTTTCCTTCTGAAAGACAGGATGGAGGTGGCCAGTCTGATGTCCCTGGGGAGCTCCACAGACAGGGGGCACTGCTGAGAAGGCTCTATCCCTCGTCCCTACCATTCTTGTTTGCAATGGAGGTGGGATCAAGAGCAGGGCCTCTCCAGATGATCTTAAACTTTGTGATGGTTTGTAACAGGAGATACATTTGGATAGGTAATCTGGGCCAGAACCACATTTAGAGCAGTGGTTCTCAACCTGGGGTCCCCAGATGTTTTTGGCCTACAACTCCCAGAAATCCCAGTCAGTTTACCCAGCTGTTAGGATTTCTGGGAGTTGAAGACCAAAAACATCTGGGGACCCCAGGTTGAGAACCACTGATTTAAAGGTTAAAACCAGCACTTTGAATTGTGCTTAGAAGCTGATCGGCAGCCAGTGGAGCTGACATAATAGCGGGGTTGTATATGCTCTCTGTATGCCGCTCCGATGAGCAACCTGGCTGCCGACCATTGGACTAGTTGAAGCTTCCAGGCAGTCTTCAAAGGCAGCCCCACATAGAGTGCATTGCAGTAGTCTATTCAGGATGTAACGACTGTGGATCACTATGGCCAAGTCAGACTACCCAAGGATACAATGATTGCCACCCACAACCTTTACTCCCTTGACCGCCTGCAAGATGTCACTTCACAGTTTGTATATCCTTTAGTGGCCAGTCCATACCAGCCAAGTGAGGTTTGTGAGCTGCCTTTGGAAGCATTTGTGTCCTGTATTACAAGATGCCTGGGTGGCTTACTGTCAAATCAAGTCAAGTAATATAAATTGAGAAACTTGTTTGCCTAAATCAAAGAGATGCCCAGTGCTGCTCCTCCCTTCAGGCAACTGAGATCACAATGATTACCTCCAGCTGCCTGATTCCAGCAACCAGCGCTGTCCTCACAGATCTACCTGTGGGCACTTGTAGCCTTATTTGTGCCCCTCTCATGCCCTTCATCTCTCTCTGGAACATATGCCACACAGTAGCCGCCATCTGCTCGCCCACAGAAAACCATATTTAATAATTTAGAGCTGATGTAGTAATCTTTTGTGAGTAGTCTGCCTCTCCCCTCCCGGCATCCCCATTGCTTCAGCACTATCAGAGGGTTTCACAAGACCAGTCACTCTCATTGCCACATGATTTCGAGACAATGGTACAGTAATGGTGAGGCTGTGGACCATATTTTCATTTTTGCAGACCACTGATGGTCCATGGATCCCAGGTTGAGAACCACTGGCTTAAGTTTTCATGTAAAACAGTTACAAATCTAGTGGTTTCCCCTTAGATATCCCCTTAATATACCATAAGGAAGCTCAACCCAATAATAAAGTATCATCTGTCCTGAGGAACTGAACAAAGCCGTTGGTGAGAGGAACTACATCATCTGCAACAGAGCAAAGTCTATAGACCTCTTAAGTCCTGTCCTGTGTAACCTGTGGCACTCCTGGTCATATCAGACCTGGGGTTTTTTCACATTACACAATCATAGCACTATGGTTCCATAATAGCTGCCATGGCAACAGCCTATGGAATACTGGAGCTTGCTGTTCGTTGAGGCATTTCAGCTTCCTGTCAGAGCTGCAGTGGCACAGTGTACCTGCTGAACTGAAGGTTGGCAGTTTGAATCCATTAGATGGGGTGAGCTCCTGTCTGTCAGCTCCAGCTTCTCATGCAGGGACATGCGAGAAGCCATTCAGGCGTCCCTGGGCAACATCCTTGCAGACGGCCAATTCTCTCACACCAGAAGTGACTTGCAGTTTCTCAAGTTGCTTCTGACACAATTTTAAAAAGTTTTCTGAGTGCTCTTGAGGTGAGAAGGACAGACTATAAATAAATAAATAAATTTTCAGAGAAGAAAACACGTCAAAGCTCTGGTGGAAACTGTGCTCATCTGCACTGACCACTACATTAAGATAAATGGGGGGGGGGTTAATCTTTACTTACAGCCAGTGAAGGATTCAATTGCTGTGAATCATGGCAGTTAAACTGATGTCAAACTGTGTTAATTCTGGGTTTTTGTAGGTTTTTCGGGTTATATGACCATGTTCTAGAGGCATTCTCTCCTGATGTTTCGCCTGCATCTATGGCAAGCATCCTCAGAGGTAGTGAAGTCTGTTGGAACTAGGAAAATGGGTTTATATATCTGTGTATTCTACAGTGTAGATGCATCCACTGACTCTGTTCTTAATCATCATAGTCTAACACTCAACCCCTTAGGAAAAGAGAGAAATGGTCAGGTCCCAATCTCCACTGGAAGAGGACAGGTGGCTTTTGGAAAGGCTGGGAGGGATTGAAAGGAGGGGCATGCCCTGATTGGATTGCTGTGAGTTTTCCAGGCTGTATGGTCATGTTCCAGAAACATTTTCTCCTGACATTTCACCTGCATCTGTGGTAGTTATCCTCAGAGGTTGTGAAGTGTTGGAAATTAGGCAAGTGGGGTTTATTGATTGAGAACAATACTAAAAACAAACAAACAAAAAAACCAAAAAAAACAAGAGAATTCCAGACAGGAAACAATCAGGGCCAGGGGTTTTTTTTTGTTTTTGTTTTGTCGTATCAGGAGTAACTTGAGAAACTGCAAGTCGCTTCTGGTGTGAGAGAATTGGCCGTCTGCAAGGACGTTGCCCAGGGGATGCCCGGATGATTTGATGTTTTATGATAATTGTGGGAGGCTTCTCTCATGTCCCCGCATGAAGAGCTGGAGCTGATAGAGGGAGCTCATCTGCCTCTCCCTGGATTCGAACCTGCGACCTGTCAGTCTTTAGTCCTGCTGGCACAGGGGTTCAACCCACTACGCCACCGGGGTAACAACTCCTACCATAGGATTCCTCCAGGCATGAAGCAGCCAGACCTTGAAGCTGCAAGGCTATTCAATGCTAATCAAGGTGGTCAATTGCAGCATTCACTTGCCTCAAGCAGACAAGAGGTCTTTCTCCCACCTTGGACATTCCACAGATATATAAATCTCACTTGCCTGGTTTCCAACAGACCTCACAGCCTCTGAGAATGCCTGCCATAGATGTGGGCGAAACGTCAGGAGAGAATGCGTCTGGAACATGGCCAAACTCACAGCAACCCAGTGATTCCGGCCATGAAAGCCTTCGACAGCAATACAACCCACAGCATTGAGCCGTGACAGTTCAAGTGGTGCCGAAGGGGATGGATTCTGCAGTGTAGATGCACCCTTTGCTAAGCGAGCATCAGTGCCGCAAATTCCTCCATGTCTACACCAGAGAAGACGCTTCGGCGATCCCTCCCCGGCCCTTGCTTTGCCTTCCTGTCCTTAAACCGCATTTCCCGGAATTGGGTCCAGATCCTAACCTCATGATGGCTGGAAAGCAATCGAGGGCTTAGGCGGGGATCGGCTCAAGCCGTGTCAAAACTGCATTCAGCCTGTAATGTAGAGGCGGCCCTTGACGGTGTCCCGAAAGGCCCCCGCAAGCAGGGAGAGAGGCTTACAAGCGAACGCAGGCTCTTTGGAGAGGAGCTGAGCAATTAAGAATAAGGGTTTATCATAATTATAGTGGGAGCCCCCCGTGGCGCAGTGGGTTAAAGCCCTGTGTCGGCAGGACTGAAGACCGACAGGTCGCAGGTTCAAATCCGGGGAGAGGCGGATGAGCTCCCTCTATCAGCTCCAGCTTCTCATGCGGGCACATGAGAGAAGCCTCCCACAAGGATGATAAAACATCAAATCATCCGGGCGTCCCCTGGGCAACGTCCTTGCAGACGGCCAATTCTCTCACAACAGAAGCGACTTGCAGTTTCTCAAGTCACTCCTGACACGACAAAAAAGAATAATTATAATTATAATTACATTAAATAATAATAATAATAATCCCTACCTCTCCTTACTTGCCTTGTGAAAACACATAGACATCTCCGACGAGAAAAACAGTCAGCGAAGCTTTGAAGCTGCAAGGCCATTTAACGCTAATCAAGGAGTACTGTCGAAGGCTTTCATGGCCGGAATCACTGGGTTGTTATGGGGTTTTGTTTTGTTTTTTTGCTATATGGCCATGTTCCAGTAGCATTCTCTCCTGGCGTTTCGCCTGCATCTGTGGAGGCATCCTCAGAGGTTGTGAGATCTCTTGGAAACTGGGAAAATTGGGTTTATGTATCTGTGGAAAGTCCAGGGTGGGAGAAAGAACTCTTGTCTGTTGGATTTAGGTGTGAATGTTTCAATTGGCCACCTCGATTAGCATTTAATAGCCTGATGGCTTTTAGCTGTGGCTTGTTACTGCCTGGGGAATCCTTTGTTGAGAGGTGATTAGCTGTCCCTGGTTGTTTCTTGTCTGGACTTCCCCTGTGTTTGAATTTTTATTGTTTTTTTATTTACTGTTATAATTTTGGAATTTTTTAAATACTGGTAGCCAGATTTTGTTCATTTTCATGGTTTCTTCCTTTCTGTTGAAATTGTCCACATGCTTGTGGACTTCAGTGGCTTCTCTGTGTAGCCTGACATGTTAGAGTGAACAAAAATCTGGCTACCAGTATTAAAAACATGTTCTAGAAGCATTCTCTCCTGACGTTTCGCCTGCATCCGTGGAGGCATGATCAGAGGTTGTGAGATCTGTCGGAAGCTAGGAAAACTGGGTTTATATATATGTGGAAAGTCCAGGGTGGGAGAAAGAACTCTCGTCTGTTGGATTTAGGTGTGTGTTTAGGTAGTTGTTAAAAGTGGTCCACCTAACCAAGGTGGCCAGTTGCAACATTTGCAGGTGCCTCAAGCCAACAGGAGTTCTTTCTCCCACCCTGGACATCCCCCAGATACATAAACCCCACTTGCCTGCTTTCCAACAAGACCTCACAACCTCTGCCATAGATGCGGGCGAGACGTCAGGAGGGAATGCTTCTGGAACATGGCCAGGCAGCCCGGAAAACTCGCAGAAACCCATTGATTCCGGCCATGAAAGCCTTCGACAACACAGCCTTGGAAGGTTATCATTTTCTAAATAGCTCCAGGTGTATGAAACGCAGCAATCCAGGGCATCCAGTGGGGAAAAGGCCACCGTCGACGGAAAGTTTGCTTAGGCTGGGTCTACGCTGGCAAAACATGCGTATTATATGGTCAATGGAGACTCAGAGAATGCGGCGCAAACGACATCGTATTGGCAGCGTAGGTCCAGCGGAACTAACGAAATCTATTCCTGTTTCAGGCAAACGCAGGATTCGGGGATTTTCGTTGCGAGGGACCTCATCCCACTAGAGAATGAATCCACTTAAAATGGGCAAAGTTTGTTTTTTCTTTTCCGGAGAGACTTGAGAAACTGCAAGTCGCTTTTGGTGCGAGGGAATTGGTCGTCTGCAAGGACGTTCTCCAGGGGACGCCCGGATGTTTTGATGTTTACCATCCTTGTGGGAAGCTTCTCTCAAGTCTCCGGATGGGGAGCTGGAGCTAACAGGGGGAGCTCATCCGCGCTCACGAGGCGCCAACGCTTTCGTTAAATTTTTGTTAAATCCCTGTGCTTCCATGGTATTGATTCGTGGGGAAGTGGTGTCAAACCGCATTGATTCTACAGTGTAGATGCACCCAGGGTGCTTTGCAGTCCTGGAATTTCTGCTTCTATCAGTTCTGCCCCCAATAGGAAGTTCACCCCAAGCCTTGGTTGTGGGGACCAGCCTGCCCCCAATCTTTCCTACTACGTAGTTTCCTTCTGGTGGAACCAAGTCTTTTTCATCTCCTGGATACAGTT